TGGGGTCTGTTGGTAAATGCAGGTTTCGTGACAGCTACGCGCAATATTCAGCCCTGAGTGCAGGGCTGTTCACTTGGGCCGAGGATTGCGGCTGGGAGGGATGTTTCCTTCCATCTCCACATTTATTTTACTCCGAGGAATAACTGATATTTTGGGAGTCCTGGGGGCGATCCAGGTTCCCTCTGATAACGCCCCCTCTCTCAAGGCCTGCGTGTGCCGTGCGATGCAGACATTAATTTCCTAATCAATATTATTGCCCCATGTTGTTTGTGAAACACGGGATTATCTCGATAGAGGATAAACCTGAAAGGAATCAAGTTGCACTTTGAGCGGGGAGGGCTTTTCTTTTAATCGGGCATTTGGTGAAGATAATAGGCTTGAGACCCTAATTGATGATTACTATTTTGAGGTTTTAAGATGGCTATGTATAGGGAGATGCTGAACGGGGAAAAGGCTTTAGAAATGGCTTCAGTGCTGGGCAGGGGGACTCGTGTCATTTCAAAACACTGAAAAGGAATCAAAGTCTCCCAGAAAGCTGTCTCCAAAGCTTAACACGTCGTCACTCGGGCTGTAGTGGGAGAGAAATAACTGGATTTGGACTTTTTCATCTTCAAAGGAGTACCTCTCTCCCGGTTTTATTTAAGCCTGGTTTTCAGGAAACCAGCCGTATCTCTGTTTAGAAAATACCTCGTATATTTATGGTGCGGTCTAACTATTCTGTAATAAAAATAATACTGTTGGATTACACAAGGAAGCCTGCTAATTAAATAACAATAATACCTTGAGCACCTTGAAAACATCTTCTGATATTCAATTAAGGAACAATAGCCCGATGAACTTTAACCTATAGACCATATTCAGACTTTCTACATAAAAGTAATTGCATCACTCATGATTTTCTCAAGCTACAACAGAAGCTCTTGATTGGTAGCTCAACGTCTGAGACTCCTTTTTACCACTTTAATTGGGAAAGCAGACAATACTCTCCCTGTAAACTAGATTTTAGGACGAAGGTTAGTTGCCTTTGTACACATTTCCTCATTGAAATAGGACTGTTTGCTTAATAATTCAAAACAAATAGCATTAGACAACAAGTCCTAATCCTGATTTCTCCTCTGCCAGTGTAAATTAGGAGAAAATTAAGTGAAACTCTATTTGATCAGCGGAGAAAGTCTTGTGTAAAACTTCTTTAAGATCAGAATTAGGCTCCAGCAATTCAGGCCTTTTCTTCTGGCATCTTTACTGGGATCTAAAAGAGGAATATGTAAATATGTACATTTTCTCCCCACTGAAAGCAGTTGTTGAGTTACGGGAAGATGTTTTTCATGTGGTACTTGTTCTGACAGCGCTGCGTCGTGTTTGTACGCTATGTGGGATTGGGTAATGGCGTCTTATTTATTAGTTACTCTCCTGATCTGCTTTATTCAATTTGGTTGTATTAGCCCGGGGTTTTTGCCCCCTTTGGGGGAAAAAGGATCATCCTCAGAGCCAAAATGAGGTCTTTTGCAATGAGCTATCTCCTAACTGGGCCTAGACTTGGGTAGAAGGCAAGGATTCAACAGTATATTCAAATACCTGATTCACTTTGTCACCCGTCTGTATTAGGTGGAGCAAATAAGTCTGTGCTTTAGTCAAGAATGTGATTAAAATTAAGCACAAGCTCAAAGTGCTTTGCTGATTCAAGGCCTGCCCTGGCTACCCAGGTGTCTTAATGGAAACCCAGGATTTCAGTCAAGGAGCTCTGTTAGGTTTTTATAAAAAGTGAGTAAAAATCCTCTCATCCTTATTTTGAACATCAAAATGCGACCATCACACAAAACTGCAGAGATAACCCAGTCATGTACAGCAAGTTCAATGTCCTGTCTTTGGGATCTTTAGCAAAGGCATCACAGTATGAAAAGTAAATCTTGCAAGCTTTCAGGGTATCTAATAATCTTTTCAGTAAAGGAGCTCATTAATGCTAACATCTGCATATGGAATTGCTTGACTTTACCTATTTTTTTCTCATTCGTATGCCAATTTGATATATTTTTGCATTTTGACCCCTGTGAATGCACACACAGTGTTTACTTCACATATTTCGTCTATCCTGCTCTTTCCCAGTCATTCCTCTTTTACACGTCTCGCTTCTGAGTCTCGTTTCTCACATTTTCTTGTTGCGCTGCTGTCACAGCTCAGCAAAAACCTCAATCTTAGGCCTGGATTTTGCAATCTGAACCATCCGGGCAAATCTGGAAACTTCCATGGAGTTCTGCTGAACTGCCGATTCGCCGACCAACTGAGCACCGAAATCGGCTCGGGATACAACCCAAAGCCAAGGGCATCGTGTCTGTGGGTACCGAGCTGTTATCAGTGGTTGGCGAGACCGATTTCCTAATGCTGATAAGTAAATAGCAAATTGGAGAATTTCACAAATTGGGAAATTCACCTCCCATTTGTGAAATGTTTATTTTCAGTACTGAAGGATGAAAATCTAATCCTGCTCGTTGCGTGCTGCTGTTTAATGATTACCGTTATATGCGGACACAGAAGAAATATTCCTGAGCGGACGTTTCAGGTACACCCAGCACAACAAGAATAACCAAGTTAGCAGGCCCAAGGGAACTTACTCAGCTTTTCTCATGCTTTTTGGGACCATGAGAGCTAAAATGTATTTAAAACCATTTACGGCATTTTCGTTTCTGTTTTTACCCATGTTTGCTAGGTTAAGGCCGTGCGACAGTGGTGTTTTTATGGGATGATTTCAAAGGCCTTTAGACTTTTCCCTTAAAAACACCTGCCAAACATCCACCCGCGGCCGCAATTTGGGGCAAACCCAACACGTGGCAGATGTCGGTGGCGCTGCCGAATGCACTTCTGGAAGTTGCTGAGCTGCTGCCACGCTGAGCACAGCGTGAGCTGGTCCCGAGCATCGCCCCGCTCCCTGCAAAGGGCTCTGCGGAGCCGTAAGCGGCCTGGCCCCGCTCCAGCAAGGCACTTAAGCATATGCTTAATTTTAGGCACATGAGTGGTTTCAGTGAAGACCTAGGAGAATTATTTTTAATTCACAGATCATTTAATTCAATAGGCAGGTCTGCTGCAGCATATGAAAAGTAGATCTTTGTATTAAAAATACCGGGGAAATTGTCAATGAGCAAACGTCGTGTACAGCCGGCAACCGTTTCGAAAAAGCAGGATGCTGCGGCCGTCACCTTTATCATGGTAAAATACAAAGCAGATTGGGCAGAAGCATTTGTAATTATCCCAGCGCTATTTCTAAGCTGAAAATAAGGAAAAATAAAAGCTCGTAAGAAGATTTTTTTCATTTGAAGTGGGGAAAAATTTATTCTCTTGATGTAAATAAAAACCTTGTTTGCAGATTCAGGAATTTGTTTGTGTTGAATTTCAGCATCAATTTCAATATTTTATAGTACATTTATCTACAGCTGGAGCATGACAGATTTGTGTATATTTATATGTTTGTGTACATAATACATATGTATACACACATACACAAGGATGCCCAAAGATATACATATACACAGTTTGAAAACTCATCGTTATTGCCGAAGTCTAAAAACACTCCTGATGTAGAAACTCGTCTCAAGTCTGTTAGTGTAGCGACTGTGTTCATCTGGCGCTGGATCCTCACAGAAACAGGGAATTTCCTCCATGCAGGAGCAGAATGTGCTGAGATTTCGGGTGGAGAGGAACAAATGACCTCCCTCCCTGTCTATCCCAAACCTTTCCTTGATAGTCCTGCATATAAGATGGGTTTCTTTAATTCCCATTCTGCAGGGAGAAATGGGATATATTGAGTTTTTTAAAGACCGGGAGGACAAATGCAGCTTGCATTAGTCCTGCTCTGGTCGTTAGAGAGAGGTACACGGGTATTGCCGGGATGAGCGTGGGTTACGGTAGAAAATACCAAACCTAGAGAAATGGTAACAAATCTGACAATTAACAGCGGAGCAGATGGTGCCCCTGCAAAACATTCAATAATAAATGTGTGCGTGCACTGGAATCGGTGACTCTAAGTAGGACAGCCTAAAAAGGTATGCCACTTATCCCGCGGACAAGTAGGACTTTACGGCTCTTTTCGTAATCTCTTTATCCCGAGATTTCTCCGCTGACCCTGATTTTCCAAGCGGGAGGTCAGGGTGGCCGCTGCAGGCCGGCCCCGTCCCACCCCACGCTGGGCCGCAGCCCGAAAGCTGCTCCTTTTGTCACTGAGCATAGCCGTGAAAATTAAATGAACATTTGGTGGTAGGCATGTTTGCAGAGAAGAAGGAGAATGCTGTTATGTAAAGTGTAATAACATTTCGATACCGAGCGCACAGGCATTCCTCGCTCTGGGGAGGCGATGGGGAAGCGCACGCCCCGGTTCCTAAAGACGGTCCAAAGCGCAAAGTTAACGCTTTTCTTATGCAGAGGTTTATTTTCTCTTTTCAAAAGCTAGTTTTAAATGTTAGGAGATTTTTTTTTTTGTGGGAAAGGCAATTTCATGTTTTTGAACCAGCTGCTGTTCTAAGATCTCCCTAGTGTAGCCTTAGAAAAATGAAGAGTACATCTTTAAATCTTGTTTTGTTTGAATGAATGGGTAGATAATCCTGATCAGATGTTTCTTTAGAGAATAATGTTTAAAACGATTATGGAACTTAGCTGTCCTGTCTGTTTCCTAGGTACAGTATTTTCATTTCAATTGCGAAGTCATTAGGGGTCACCCAAGGTAACCGTTTATTAAAATAGTCCTCTTTTGTTTCAGATTTCCTGTTGAGATGCTTTAACATGTAAAAATCTCCCCGCTGATGTGTCATGTTAGCTTTCCTAACCTCTAGATAGAAACCACAAAGCAGCCTACATAGCTGTATGACTGGTTACCCACCTACATAAACAATAATTACCGCTAAGTGGGAAATTAGATGGCACATTTTAAGTCAAAATGAAAGTAAAGTATTTGAGAATACCGTCATTAAATGCTTAAAGCTAATCGCAGCTCTCTCCCTCTGTTTGTTTTGTAGGACATTTGGGCTTCCAGGACAGTTTTGTCACTTCAGGTGTTTTCAGTGTGACTGAGCTAGTAAGAGTCTCACAAAGTAAGTATCATTTTGTGGCCGGTTTATGTGGTTTCCTGCAATCCCGGTTTTTTCCTTTGATTCTTATCGTGCCCCTTCCCTGATTCAGAAACAGCCTCTTGAAAATTGAGTCTCTTCTCCCCGCTTCTTGCCGGTGGACACTGTTTATGTGCCACATCATTTTTTTAATATATATATATATATATGTATATATCTCCTAATAAATCATAATCTATTATAGAAAATATATCGTCATAATAGATTGTAACAAAATAAGATCATTTTTAAAAGTAAATAATGATATTTTAATTCTGCAAACTTGCATGCGCAAGCTGATAAGCTCATCTGGTACCCAGCTGAAAGCTCTGTTTCAGAAGGCAGAGAAATGCCTACAGAGATCTGCTTACCCAGCGGGTCCCTTGCAGGATCCCAGGGCTGTATTTTAACCAGACCTCTAGAAATGATACAAGCACGTAAGTCTGGAAATTTTCCTACGCTGCTGTTGCACGTTGTGTGCATCCTTGCTGTGCATATGCGTGTTTGTACACCTGCAAATTGATGAACTCGTTAATAATGCCAACAGCTTCAGCCCTGATAATCTCGGTTGCACGAAGGCGCACACCTTGGCTTGGCAAGACCCGTGTTTCCTATGAACCCTATGGGATTCTGTCTTCTCCAAAGATTTGGTTTTTGACCTTTAAAGAATGCTAATGCCCCCAGTGTGACTGACATGCTGCAGCATGGCCATTACAGGCTTGTCAATACTCGCTAACGACAGTGAATTAAGAGAACCTGTCACCACCCTGCTCCATTGATCAAAGGTGCATTGATTGTCTTTTGCCACGACGTAATCCAGATAGGCCAAGGAAAGTGTGTGGACAGAGAGAGGTAAACCAGGGCCGTAGGTACGAGTGCTTTGGTGTAGAGCTATGCAGTCACACCACATCGTCATCAGTTACCACCACTCCTGGTGAACCACTCTACTACCTGCCCCTTAAAACCTTAGGATTTGTAACCAATCTTTAGCACAGCCAGTGATAAAAATGGTTCTCCTCTTAGACAGCAGGGATGTTTGTTTAGGTATTGGCTCTGAGCACGTAGTTTAAGTCCTTCTGGGGCTGGAATCTGACTGGCACAAACCGAGCAGATAATCTGCGGTTTTGAGGCAGAACACAGCATTTCTGTAAGGATTTTTCTGGTTTATTTCCTCTTTTGGAAAGATTCGCACTAGTAACCTGGTTTTATATTCAAATATAGGGTGATACAAGAAAAGCAAGGCAAGTGGGACACATGAATGTCAGAGTTATATGTGCTGGAAAAAGAGACAGAGAGAGAAAAAGTTTGAGGCAGACATTTCTGCCATGACAACTGGTGGGAATTTTGTGAGAAGGACAAAGTGAAGACTGAGAAGTTAAGAGGAGCTGCTGAGCACTCAGCACGTGTACAAATCAGTTCAGTTACTGAAGTGCTTAATTAGGGACTTGGACATCGAACTCACTATGCTGGTACCTGCAGCCATGGTGGACAAACCCGGGTTGTCACCGGTCTCTGAACATCTCCATGTTATGTCACAATATTTCAGTGTGCTGCACTGAAAAACACAAAGCCCAGATGATTCACCCTCCCCCTCTGCAAGGCATCCCACTTCCCCACAATCTTATCTTCGCTTCCACAGCAGAGCTGCCTCTGGACTCTGTCAGCCATGTTCCACGTCTGCACGGACGGGGCTGCTCGAAAAGTGCCCTCTTCAGTTTCCCCCTTCACAGCCAGCCCAGGCCCAGCCCTCCTGAGAGCCTGGCACTCATGAACAGCACGTTTCATGCCTATTAATTGTCCATTTTACTTTATTCTATCTAAACTATAATGTTGTGTATCAGAAATCCTGGCATTCGGCATGTTTTGCAAACGATGAACTGTGCCGGAGACGTTCCCACTCCTTGCCATGGAAATGCATCACCTCCGAGGGTCAGGCACCCGCGTGCGGGAAGGGCAGGACAGACATGAACTTTATCAGCAATAAGAAAGGAGGTGGTGGTGGGCAAAATGCAAAGATACAGCTTTTATCTCTTCCAGACACAGGGGTTTGCACTCTTTTTCATGGGCTCTTTAATAATCCTGGGAGGTCAAGACCTCCGTTTTATATCCTGTCCACAAGCCAGCACCTCTACCAAAAATAGTGTCCCCAAAGCATATCGGGATATCACTTCAGAACTGACTCAGAGGGAAGAGTGCCAGCAACTGATTTAGCTACGCTGCTTTTGATAGCACCCTGGATTTTCCTTGGAGATGCCCCAGACGTGTACTGACCAGCCGTAACCTTGTTTACTGTGCGAGGTCTGAGAAGCCCACAGCCTGACATGCCGTGGCTACCCAGTAGGATATGTTTAGATTGAGGAACAAATTCCCGGCAAAGTCAGTATGAATTTGCATGCTAATAGTCCGAGAAGTATTTAACATAACAGAGCAACAAAGTAATTGCTGCGTATCTGCCTAACTTGGCAGGCAAGGTCTTTTAAAGTGTGAGCTTTTCAATATAACCCTTGCTGGGTTGTCTGCGTGTTCCCATGTCTTGATTTGAGACCAGTCCATAGGTTGTTTTCATGCTGGGGAGCTCAGCTGATGAACAGCCATCATCCAGACCTACCGGCAGCTATTAACAGTCTGCAGCTGATCAAAATGTCTCCTAAAAAGACATTGCTCCTTCAGAAGCCACCACCACGACTACGGAAGGAACAAGCCCTCATGTTTGGTCTTTTCCCAGCATGCTCTTCCTTTCCTTTCCAAAGAGGCCATCTCTGTGGATGCCCATCATCATCTTTCTTTCCATGCTTGCTTTTGATAACACGATGGTAGAAATAAGTGATTTCCCACAGTTCTAATTGGCCTGTGCTTTGCTGGCGGTATTTAATATTAATCTTAAGAAATATTGTCGCTAGCTGTTATGTGCCAGGTTTATTTAGTAAAGTTCCCAGAGGTCCACCTGACAAGGAGTCTCAAGTAATAGGCAGTTGTCTCCGTCATGCAGATTTGAGGAATGAATTGAACAAGCGAAAGGTCAGCTGTTCCCATTATCTGTCTTACCTATCAGTGCTGATCATCACAGTTTCTGTGAGCGATTGAACAAGCCAAGACTGTTTTGGTAACAGAAACTTGCTTTCTTCAGTTCTACAGATGCAGATTTTCATTTGAAATGCTACCCGGCTACTGAATCTTGCAGAGCCTAGTAAAATAGAGAAAGCAGATCATAAATGTTCATCTGAAAAACACATAGTTCCTCTCGCACCCCGTTTGATGTGGATGTGGCAGCCCACGCTGTCAGTTCTCCTGTGTTATTGGCAGGCAGAGGGTGTGATCTCCTTTCTAAGTGGTGTCTGTCACCCCAGATACTGGGAAGACCCCTTCGGATAACAGAGACTTCATCCTTCCGTCTGTAGAGAGGTTTGGGCTGACAACAAAAGACTCAGAAGCAGAAGTGTTGGAGATGTTTGGGTTTAGGGAACTGACAGCCAGCTTTTGGCCAAGCAAAACCTTCTCCCTCTCTACCCTTGTTAGGAAAATATTGCACTGGCTGTGTGCAGATATTCGCAGGGCACTGGAGAATAAAACGCTCTGCAAAAGCTGGGGCTGTGGTGCCAAGCCACTGCCAAGCGTCCTGTCCCCTTTGCTTTGAGTGTCCCCTTGGCTTTGAGTCCGCAGCGTGTGCTCTGGTGCAGAGAGCTGCTGGAAGATCTCCTCCTTGGAGGTCCTTCAAGCAGCCAGATAAACTGCGCTGCCCAGGATGTGAGGAAAGATTTAGGATTTATGAACGTTGGCGAGAGCCAAATCAAACATACTTGTTTGGTGCTGTGTTATTTGTCAAAATGACATCATTCCTCGTGCTGATAAACAAGGGAATTCTGACTGCGCCCTGGACTGAAAATGCCACGCTTTGAGTTTCAAGATGTTAAAACTGTGTGCGGTGAGGAGCTGGATGGAGCAAGGGGGTGACTTTTAATCCTGCTAATGAGCCCGTGAAACCACAAGCACACACGCGTACAAGCAGTTGCTTACTGCTCCTGTATAAACACAGAAACGGTCCCGCTAATTATCCCTGAGACAGTTGCACTAATTGCACAGGTAAGAGGTGCTTTTGTGGCCAAGGGATTTTGAAAAGCTCAGGATCCGAGGCTGCTGGATGGGGCGGGAGCCAGGCTCGGATAGTGGCTGCTTTAGGGCTGGAGACAGGGGATATTGCCGTGAGCAGACAGTGCTAAAAATGAAAGTAATTGCCACCGCTCCAGGCACGGAGCATGGGTGTGAGGGAGGAAACACGGCTTCTTCACGCCTTTCATGCAGCTACAGCCGAAACACAAAGTGCAGGGCAAGTCCTGCCAGCCCCACCCCAGGCCCGGGTGCCTCTGAAAAGTTTGGGGTGCCCTGGCCTCTGCTGTGGGTCTGGGCAAGGGGCAGGGAGAACGCTGCTGCCTTCCTGCAGCCCCGGAGAGGAGAAGAGGCTCTCCTCCACGCAGAGCACGTGTGTGAAAGCCGGGGTATCATAAACCAGCTCTCTCTAAACAGCAGCCTGTGTGTTTTCTGCTATACTAAGCATTACAGTAGTGAAGGTAGTTAAAGTCAGCAGCACGAAAATTAACATTTAAAAAGATACTCTATATTCCTTAGCAAAGCACTGCTATCCAAAACACACTGTTTGGGCTTGGGTATGAGAGGAAGAAAAAAAAGATTATGATAAAAAATAGACTGCAGGCATAGAGTGAACAGTTGCCGTGACCTTGCCTTTTGTATGCCATTACACAATTCAATGGCAGTCCACTCAAACCTTGCTCTCGATCAATATCCTATTAAAGCAGCACAAAAAGTCTCTATAAACTTAGTGGTTAGCTATGTTTATAAATGGAACTCAGCATAATGAGATGGTCAATAGCAGGCCGTACTTGTAATTTTAAAATGAACATCACACATTTCATATCTGTTGTATTCGGCAAAACCGCTTTGAATCTAACGATACAGCGTAGGAAACAAAGGCCTTGCACACAAAAAAACAACCCAGCTCCCTTTTCCTCTCGACAGCAGCAGCGGCAACGCAGTTTGTTTCCCTTTGTTTATGGAGTCACAACACAGGAAAAAGTTTATTAGTCAAATGTCATGTTTCTCCCATTTAACCTTAAACACATTATCACTTTGCTGCAGCGTTACACATGTAATGATCTTAGTCACATCCCAGCCCCTCTGTAAAAATAAATACATAAAAATGGGGAAAAGAGAAACTAAATACTAACAGGACTAGAAGAGAGTGCCGTATTCTAAGGAAGACAAATGCCAGCCTGGCTGGTTTTATTTAGTGGGTTTCCTGTTCTGTAATTCAATAAATTTTTCAAAACAAATATTGCAATTGGGTTAAGTCAGAGGGCTTTTTGTTAATTTCTCTGTTATTTTTCTTGACATTTCGGGTGAAGAGCTGAGCTAACAAGCTGGCAGGAGCAGGCTGGCAGCAGAGGCAATGCTCTTCATGTCCTCAGGAACAGCCTGCCTGCTTTCCTCCTCCTCCTTTTTTTGGGAAAACTACCCGGTCCTACCTGTCAGAATGAGTGAAATGGGTCCCACCTGCACAGGGTTGGGTATTTTTGGTGATGCCAGCAGCTGAAATGGGAGCGGCACCCATTAGCAGGGTGGGTGAAAGGGGAAGAAGGGTCTTTCCTTCTTGCCCTCCCGTCAGGTCAGAGGACATCTTGATGCTGGCACATAGGTGGGGACTGTTGTTTTGACTCATAACTTCAATTTCTGACATCCTTTCCTGTTTGGGAGTTGTTCCTGAGCTATCAGAAGGTCACTTTGCTGCGGAGAATTTCTTAAGGGTGGGGGAAACGGTGTGTTTTTAATGTCAGTGGCCTGGGGTTTCTGCAGGCTGCAGCGTGCAAGCAGCCGGCTGGGCTGGAGTGGAGCTTCCCAGCCTCTGAAACTACTGAAGAGGGTTAATTTAGACAGAGTCCTGTTATGTTTTGCACCTCTTTGAACCCTTTGCAGGGAATCCTGCAAATAAATGCAGATGTTCCCCTCCCATCAGCTTTCTGGGTCTGTGTGTGGTGGACAGGCCACAGAGGCCATGGAAAGCCATTTGGACCAGGCCCAGGTGCCTCCTGGCTGGGCCGTGCCTGCTCTCGTGGCGCGTTGCACTGCAAAACACAGGGGTGAGGAGAGGAGGTGAACGTCAGGCAGCGAGGCTCAGCTCTGCCGAGGTTGAAGCAGAGACAGAAAGCACACAGGGCTTCAACCAAACTCCAGCCGGGAAGAGGAAGCCACCTTCCGCCATGCGGTTGAAAAGCATTAACCTCTTCCTGACGGTCTCGGAGTGGGCTTTGCACGTCACGTTGCTGTGTTTTATGACAGTAAATCAGGATGGTGACCCCTGTGTAAGGACTTGCCAAGGGGTTTCAGGTGCCCATCGCCACTTTAACCTCTCTGCTTAGATCTGTTGGTGCATTTCGGAGGTGGGTTTTGTTCTTAATCCTCGGGTTGCAAACAGGCTCTTGCATCAGGCAAGGTGGTTTGGCCAGTGACAAAGCAAGCATCCTTCATGTTTGCTCCCCCGGCGGAAATTACTGTGTGATTAGCCCTTTCTGCTTTGTGCTGAGTTTACACAGCGTTAGCAAGACGTCGTTCCTACTCCACCCCTGGTCTGCAGATACATTTCATTTTCCTATAGGGCCAATTCAAGGGTTGGATCAGAAACGTGCAGGATCTGGGGAGAAAGCGATAAATGGAGGGAAGTGACAGAAAGAAAAGCGTTATTCAGATACCAGTTTTTCCAAATCTGCTTGAAATAAAACTGTTTCATAAATTTTGCAATGCCTAGGAAATTCATCGTGCCTCAGAAAGAAATCACTTTAATTTAGTGCTTGCCTTTTTACGTTCCTGTTTGGAAAACGGTATGCTTAACCTGTAAGTTAGGCGTTGGTAGGTAGAGGGTACAGAAGAATTGATCAGCAAAGGGTTTACAGAGCACAAATCTGTTTGGCAAGGAAGTTGCTGAAAACTGTGGAGTAGATGCTGCAGAGAGTACCTTTATGATTGATTTCCATTCAAGTCAGACTGACTGCAGTGTGGTCATTTTTCTAACCCGTAACTGCTCACACTGCAGCAGTCTGCTATCTGCAGGGTGTCTGAATTATAGCAGTCCGTGTCCGCGTTACCTTTTACACAAATTACTTACACCAGTTTCTTTTTCCATGCAAATTCATCAGTTTTACAGCCCCTTGTAGCTGCTGTCAGGAAACTGTTGCAGAAAGCACAAATTGATAAAACGAGTTGATTTTACTATGCTTAATTTTTCTTTCTTTCTGTTAACACACCCTTTCATATACCCAGTGTGCAGGAAGCGTATGATAGTTAAGAGAAGATAACAAAGGGCTTGAGTGTTCTTGTCATAAATTACTTCCCAACTTAATTCCTTTTAACGATCGTTCCAGATTTTTTCAAGTTTTAATGGCGTTGTGTATTTTCCGTCCCGTGCTTTTAAAAGTCCACGGCCATCCAGGCTGTTCCCTTTTTGTCTCAATGACGTTCCTAAAAGCTCCTTGCCAAACAACAACTAATTGTCTTGTGGGGATGATGAGGCAGCTGCAAAGCTACATTATTCCTCTGTCAAATCACTGGGAGCTCCTTCACACTTGGGGTGAAATCCTGGCCCCATTACAGCCCATGGCAGCCCTCCCAGCAGCCAGCGTTTCAGCCCAGACATGTTCGCCGGGTGATAGGAGCTATCCTGTCTCCATTTCCTCACTTCTGCCCCGTCGGAGCAAAAGATATTTTTTCGCGTTTGAAAATGGGCCAGGTTCGCAGACCAAAGATGAAACTTGGCTCGGCATCCTTGTGTGGCACCGAGACTGCTTCGCCTTTGTCGCCGGGATTCGGGGCTCTCAGACAGTGCGTCCCAGGCCAAGCTTGGGCATTTTATTGTGCGGTGCGTCCTTTTTTTGAGATGTCTCTGAAATGTGAGAGAAAATCATCATCTGTAATTGTCAGCTCCCAAAGTTGTACTGCCCTGTATACAGGAACAGCGGCAGTGGATACGGTACCGTGTTATATATGCCATTGTAGTGACATTTCTTCATGAAATGCATGAGCTGGTGACTTTAGTATTAAACTGCTCTGCTCCTTTTCTGTCCTCAGAAGAATACGGCCCATGGAGTTCATAGGCTTGTGCCTGCAGACTTCAGGGTGTGTAGGAATTAATGATGTTTTAATAGAAAACCAAGGCGTTAGGACAGGGAAATTAAAGGTGCTCCTATCCCTCACAATAAAACGTAGGTGCTGGATAAGGTAAGAAAAGGTGAACAGTGGAAGGTAACTGCTGGATAGAGGTTTTTGGGAGTCAAATGTCTGCAGCTCTGATTCAGCTGGAGGAGAGGCCAGAGGAAAACTCAGATGTTTGCAGGCAGAAAAGAACTCGGGTTTCTCATCTGCTTTTGTGCTTTCTCCAAGGAGCATTTGTAACCTCTGTGCTTGTGGATGTACATCACGTACATACCAGAGGTCCTGAGGTGTGTATTTCCCTGCCTATACTGCTTATAGATTATGCCAAGCGCACCACAGGGATGATGCAGCCTGTCTGTAGCTGTGCCAACAGATGCAGTGTTGTCCTAAAAGCAACAGCAACAAGTTTCATTAAATGTTAGGATTTATATTATATAGGATATCAATAGAAAAGCAATGCTTAAGGAAAGTCTTGCCGTATTTTTAATTTTTTTTTAAAGAATACCTTTGGAGGAATATAAGAAAGACAGTATGTCAGGAAACATTGTGTTCCTGATAAAATATACCTCTTCTTAATTGCAATGCCAGTTACCATTAGCATTTCCTAATTTCCATGTCCCACCTGTTCTCGTCGTGAACCTAAACACACTCATGAGGAAGAAGAAAGTGATTTTGAAGTGCAGTTCCTGCCTTATTCACATGACTTACTGACTGCAATCTCTTTTGTTTCCCCAGCACCGATAGCTGCAGGAACAGGCCCTAATTTCTCCCTCTCAGATTTGGAAAGTTCTTCATACTACAGCATGAGCCCAGGAGCGATGAGGAGGTCTTTACCTAGCACATCCTCTACCAGGTAATTTAATCTCTGCCTACTACCAGGTTACTTGGAGACCCGGGCCAGCCTCATTACTCATCGGGGAAAGTAACCATTAAAGTCTTTGACAAGCTCTTTGGGGGCCTCAAGATGTGGAGCTGTTTCAAGATTCACAGAGCCGAATGTTCAGCTGCATTGCTATTAAAGTTCTTTTTGTGTGTACAAGCCTCGAAGAAAAGCTGCTGCATTGCCTTGTGTAACTCCTGGCTGGGGAGGAGCTCCACTGGATTTGTTGGAGTTTTACTTGTGGCAGAAGAGAATTTGGAGCATATTGAGATGTGCTGCTTTGTACCAGCAGGAAAATCACAAGATAGACTGATAAGCATTCTTTATCATAAAAAAAAGTTATCTGTGAGGCTAACATTGGTTTAGGACCTTGGCCTGTAATGCATTCTGGTTTCCGTATGGCATTTAGAAATTTGTGACAGCCTTCGGAAAACTGAATTGTAAATGCAGATGACTACCTAGTCAGATTTTGGGTTTGGCTTACATTCCAACTATCAAAGAAGGATATTTTTTATTTTTTCACCTGTCACTTCAGCCATCCATGAGATGAGATTTATAAACAAGCCCACTCACTGTAGTAGTCTTGAACACTATTAAGGAACCAGATTGATTTTATTTTTCTTCTCCCCCCACAGCCAAAATAGGTCACTTATTTCAAAGACATGACAAGAAAGCCTAACTTCAGCCCAGGCTTCTTTTACGTGTTTATCTCAGTCTGCAGTGCCACCAGCTTTGCAGTAAGCAAGAGCACGTGTAAAAATTCTCTATAGTTTGAATATAGCTGTTGTTTTTATTTAAAAAAAATCTTTAAAGAGAGGCTCTTAGCAATAACTTCTTACAGTTTGCAGTGATTGGAAGAACATTCTGCATCTTGCACTTGGTGTGCACGTTATGAAGCTCCGTGACTACAGTTCCCATTAAGCATGAATTTAAAACTTTGTGCTCTTTCATTGTTGCCTGTAAACTGCGTACCCTACAGTGCTCATCATTAGCACCATTCTCAGGTAGAATTTACTCGTGACTCCAGAAGCAAAAAAGTGAAGTTATTAATGTTACTTAAGAGCTCAATTGTTGCTCTTCTATTCTTCTGCAAATAGCTACCACTGATAAGGAGCTAATTATAAACAGCATGGGTAGTTAATAACTTGGTAATATGTTTGTTTTCCTCTCATTAGGCTGTTCCCAGTCAGAAAAAAAATTATTCCTTAAATACACAGACTCAGCAGAATTATCAAGTGGTAATTATATTGTATGCACACAATTTCCCCTATTGACACATAACAATTCTCCAAATTAAGGGATGGCCAAACCTGCATTCCAGGCATACCGCAAGAGTTATTCTTCCTGTTTCTCACAAAGTGATTTCGCACGCCCGCCAGCTCCTACCTGAGCGAGGCTTCGGGTGGGGAACTGCGCAGAGGCTGCACATTTTAAACCCATAGAAATCGCAGTGGAATATTCGCTGTCTGCTAAATACGTTCCCCCTACACAGAGGAGCCTGTTCTTGAGTGCCTGGAGTCTTAATGAAATACAGGTTTGGTGAAAAGCAGTGAGCTGACCCAGCCTTGGAAAAGTACTTAGGGGAGAAATTCTCTGTAATGTCCCCACGCAGTCTGCACAACTCATTAGAGCAAATCAAGCCGAGTTGAGTGTCCTTGGCTTGGGGATCCTCTCCCAAAACTCCCCAAGTCTGAGTCAGTGGCCACTGGGGACCACTGAAAGGGCTCTTCTGTCTCCTGAGCCCTTGGGGAGGGAGGGGAGCTGTATCACAGGGGAATCCTTTAGTGCTGACGCTGGCCAGAGGTACCTGGTGGGGGCTTTCTGTGTTTGCTAGCATGCAATTGCAGAGTAGAATGCTCGTACTTTTAGGGTAAAGTGAACATTTGAACCAAGAATAAGTTCTTTCATCGTTCACTTGTCTGCACTTCATCATATGGGGCTGGAGTCTGGGTTAATTTAGTGGTTATGGTTAAAAGATTGCAAAATAGAAATTTGAACTGATAAATAATTTGTCTTTCAGAATAAGCTGTGGGAAAATCTGACAGTTAAAATAAGTCTTGTGTGTCATGACCATATTCATTCAAATTGCAAAAATCATGTAATACGAGTTAAAATCTTGCCTTTTTATTGGCCTCTGTGTGCTTTGAAAAATGTCCTACTTTTTGATCTCTAAAAGCCTAAATGTTAAACAGTCCTTTAGTAAAATGAACCTATGTTCAGGGGTTCAGTTTGGACTCCATGAGAGGTTGTTTTGTCTCACATGGAAGAAGAAGCAAATCTGAAATGAGAAGTTGATGCTGAGAAGTTGGGTGGGCAGGGTGGCTGTACAGGACCCGTATCTGGCCCAAAATCTGGTACAGTTTCCATAACCCAGTTAGTCTCAAACAGGGCTGGCAAGGTTGGACAGAAGCCCCTTGGTTCCTGTCCATCCATTTAGTATTTACTCTGTGTTTTTGCGTTCTCAGCTCTACAAAACGTCTCAAGTCTGTGGAGGATGAGATGGACAGCCCTGGTGAGGAGCCGTTCTATACAAGCCAAGGGCGCTCTCCAGGAAGCGGCAGCCAGTCAAGCGGATGGCATGAAGTGGAGCCAGGTAAGCCCCGGCTTTCAGGAGCCCCACAGCATCCTCTCCAGTTGCTCTGTTTTGTTATCAGAAAATACTGAATGCGGTTTAGAAAGGTGATCGATCCTAAATGTCTTGTAACTTCTGCCGAGAAAAGGTCAGTCTAGTGAAAATATTGTAGTGGATTTATTGCTTCTGCAGCTGTGAATGTTTCTGTAGTGTGTCACTTCTGTGTTTTGGCCAAATATCTGAAGTATTTAAATAATGCAGCAAAAGATAGGCGGTCTTTTTCTGTCAAAAACATCCAGATTCGATTCTGGGATAGCGGTGACAATCACTTAGCAAAAAGCAGTACCTGTTTGGACTGTGCCCTACAGTTACACTGATTAAATAAATATCCCTAAATTGATATAAGGTAGGAGGACTTTTCAAGCACCGTACAACACTTGAGTTCACTTAGTAATGACTTTTAAGAGACTTACAGAAGTTGTTTTATTAATCTGTAATACCATGAAGTGTGATTGGAAGCTTCATATCAAGATAGATATCATCTGTGTTACACTTCGTAAGGTTTAGGGAGCAGCTCTTCTGGCTTTTCTCAGTTAATTTTTGTGTATGATCTTTCTTGTTGATCATCTTTTGGGTTACGTTATGTTACATACTTAACTGTCCATCGATCGCGTATCTTGATCATCTGGGTGCTTAATACTATTGAAAATATTTTTCTGGGTCAGCGCTACATCCATAGATGAAGTTAATGCCTCCGTTTTGTGTACAGCTGAATATTCAATATTTATTGCAAATCAAAATGACAGAAGTCTTATTTGTTAGATGAAGGCATGCAGAGCTTTCATCTCCAGCCTCCCAGTGTTTGAGGGCCCTCTGAACAGCCCAAAGGATCTTTCTCAATACCTATTTTTTTTCCTTCCTCGTTGGTTTGGATTTAAAATAGCATGGTTTGGGTTTGTTTAGAAACAACACATGCTTGTCTAGGGCCCTGTGTATAATGAACTATATAGCACAGAAAAGTAAATTCAACCTGAACAGCATTAAAATCAGTTCTGTGGGCACTTGGCCAGCCACCTATATCCTTCATCATGTAGGAAACATACCCACAGCTTTCTCTGGAGACCCTGTCAAACAGCTGTCCTTTACAGCATGCCCAGAAAGTCACCAAATTTGGGCTATTCCAGACTGGGAGGGGACTGATTCCTGCGCCTGGGAGCCCTCAGAGGCTCCCTTGCCAGCTGCCCTCTCTCCTCTAATGAGGAGGAGCCAGCTTGTGGGCCCTTATTGCCTGCAGATGTGGCACTTTGGCAGGAGGAGAGGGTGGACCTGCAGGCAGACGAGTGCCAGGCTCCCCGTGCCTGCCTTGCCGCCGCCATCCCCAGGGCCCTGGTGTTTTCAGGGAGGTGCCCTGCTCCATAGGCACCAGGGGCTGTTTCCTCCATCAGCTCCAGATGATGTCAGGCAGAGCTTCACCTTCTACAAAACTGGTCTGCTTGCAGAGCGGCAAAAACACGAACAAAAGCTCAGCGCCCACTGAAAGGGAGAGATCGCAACCTCCTCTGCAGACGCAGATGGCTAAAAGCTGCCTGGGTCACTGCTTCTACATCACTGTCAGACTGGGGGCTGGCTCCCCCCAAAGTTTGGGGTGCTCTTTGTTAATGACAAATGGTCTCCATTTGTGCGACAGCCAGAGGTTGGCTGTTAATTTTGCTGTCTCTTCTGGTGGCTTTCCCCACGTGTGGGCATTGCCTTTGTCTCATCCAAGTCTTGGCTGGGTGGTGGCACTGGGATGCTGGGCTGGAGAAGTCCCTAATGCCTTACACCTCCAAAACATCTCCGCCACTCTTACACCACTGCGTGCCCATCACAAAGAAACCCAACTGCCCATGTCAAACCTCCTGAGGTGCTCAGAAAGGCAAGAACAAGTCAGAGCAGAGGCTTTTCCTTCCTCGTGACCTTTCTCCCTTACTGCAGAAGAATCCCAGATTCTGCTTAGGCTTGCCTGTGAAATGGCAGAAAATCACCTTGCAACATCAGGGACTCGAGCCAGGTACCAACTAGATACAGCTCAGATTCACCACGCTATCTATCACTGTCACAGCAATGAAGAAAAAGCGCTTTATCCTGCCTGCGTGGGATGCACTTTCAAACCAACTTTATGCCTTATCCATGCAGCCCCACCCCAGTACTTCAGCTGAGGCTTTCCAGCAGCCTCTCCTCTGAATTCATTGCCTCAGCTTCTCTGGAAAACAGGGTCACTGCAAGAGCACGGCTGGCAGGGAGATCACCTGAAGAGCCACAGCTCATCAGTGGCGAAGGACAAGGCAGTGCTGAAGTGTCTTTCATGCAGGGTGACCGTGCTATGTCAATGCACAAGGTGCTTGCCCCTGAGGGCCACATCCTGCTGAGATCTGTGCGCAGTGCCCTGTCCTACCTCAGAAATCACACCTGGGTCAGGTATTGAACCCTTTGCCTTTGATGTGGGGGCTTCATCTCCAGAAGTGTAAAATGGTTTATGAGTCTTCAACAGGGCATCTGCCTAGAAAATATATTTGTCATCCGAAAGCCGTACAGATGAAGTTAACATCCCGTATTACCCGGCGGCTTGCTGCAGTGCTCCTCTCTGAGAGGGGAGCTTTGGAGCCTGGATGTGTTTCTGATCCATCCCTTCCCATGTCTCTCCTGTCCAGAAAAAGGCCTTGCTATTTATTTAATCTACAGTCAAAATGATGACACTGTTTTAACATACAGTAACCTCTGAGCTTCAGTGTCTTGGGCTTTTTTCTCAGTGAATTTCATGGTAGAAGTTTAAAGACTAAAACCATCTTTTTGTTTGCCTTGGCATTTCTTCCGCGTGGTTCATTTGACACTGCGTGGGATAGCGCAGGTATCGGCAGTGCAGGTTGATGCTGCTTTGGGAGCCAGGCTGAAGTTTTGTCCTGTGCTGGCAGAGCAGCGTAAGTCGGGCTTCCAAACTCCATAATTAAACCCTGTCCTTTGGGTTCCTGGCCAAGCGGCAGGAGGAGGAAATCAGAGCAAGGAAAGGAAGCTCAGACTTGTCTGTGGGATGGCTGTGCTGGCTGGAAGGAAAGTCAGAGAGGAGCCAGCAGCCAACCTCCCAGCCCAGTAGGATCCACACCAAAGATAATAATATAGCCTTTGGCTTTATTGCCTTTGAGTAGATTGCTTCCTCGCAGGAGATTTAGATTTATGCAGAGATAGCTTCTTGGCCTATACGCCTTGACAGGTTTATGGAAGCGAGAGGATGAATATTCTGTCTGTGTGCATTGCATTTGCTTAATTCTGAGGTGTGCACATGAGAAAAAGGAGACTCAAACGTAGGAGCAGGTGTGGAGCATCCATGAGCTGCACATGTGGAGACACAGGGAAGTGCTTGTGGCACAGAGACTGCGAGGGAGTTGTAGTGAAAGATTTGCCTGGGACAGTGCAGGGAAATTAGGTCTGCATGAGCGGGAGATGGGAGAAATGTTGCCCTTGAAGGAGAGCACAACACAGAGGAGAAAGGGAAAATAAGAGGGCAATTTTTGATCATACAGAAAGGAAAAATCATATAGGGGAAATTAAAAAAAAAAAGAACAAATGCCAGGAAAACAAAGATTCGACTTCCTAGAAAGGAAATCTGAAATGGAATATGTGAACTGCTCTTAGAAAAAGAGAGCACTCCAGGCAGAGGGTTATTTACCGCCAGCCGTGACTCGCCGCTCTGCATCTGTCTCCATTTTTTTCTCTTGAACAAATTCCCTTTTTGGATACTTTCTTCCTGCTTTGCTTCCCTGCGATTGCCCCTGTAAGTGGTCTTTGGAGGGCAGGCTGTATGCTCCGAACATATGTGCAAACTGGCAGGAGAACAGAAGAGGACAAAACCACTCTGTGTGCTGTTTGGATTAGGCACTGGATGCTTCCCCTGTGCCTACTCCTGGGGTCTCCGCTGCGTGCAGAATGAGGCTGCACCTATGGTCCATCCACACCCCTTCCTCTGCGCTTTCACATCACAGCCCCCGGGGCTTGGAGCACCCCAGTGTCTGTCTCATGGGGGCTTTGCTGGGTGCAGATCCTACCTGCTTCACCCATCAGCACTGTGCCCTTTCCATCTGTGGTATTTCAGACCCATAGCAATGAGCAGAGGACTCAGCCTTGTGGTTTTTACATCGAGATGCTTCTCGCGAGCAAGGGTGTAGCGCTCTTATACGTCAGACGTGACAGCCAAAGCAAAACCCAACATTAATCCCATGTTCTTGCACTGTACTCCTTGAGGCTCACATCCATTTACCTGCACTCGAAAGCTCCTGGGGAGCTCTCAGGCCTAAAAAGGCTGGAGTCTGCCAGAAAAGATGAATTTCCCTTCACAACAGGAAGGCTTAGGAAGTAAAACAAAGCAGACGTGTAGTAAATTACTTCTGCTTTTCAAATACCTTTTGCGGTATCCTCTTTACCATTACTTTATCTCAGCACTTTTGGTACATAACTCTTGTTAACTGAGGAGAAGGGCAAGAGAGGATAAAGATGATGTTAGTAAGAAAATAAGGCAGCATCACACCGGCTTTGAACTGTACAGAGCTGGCCCGTGTTCAGTTCTGCGGCAGCTCTGCGTGTAATGGGGGCAAGCCATAATTACAGGTATAACTTTTTTAATTCCGTCATAAAAGAAGATGGAGTTAATGTGCATCAGTATTCCACTCACGCATTTTTTAATGCATTCTCTTGATTCAGTCCAGGAGTAATGTCCACATTGTGCACTGTCAGTCATTTTGGAGTGTAGCACATGGGCGGTGTTTGCTGGTTTTACTCCCACTGTATTTCTGCAGCGTGGCACAGCATCATCCCGTGGTCATCTGCGTTCCCTCGCCCCAGCAACACCTCAGCGGGGCAAGGCTTTTAGGTGTCCTCACCTTGAAAACCCCAAATGAGACTTCCAGTGCAGAAACCTTAAGGATTTGGTGATAACACTTGCACTGCATGAGTGAAAGATGTATTTCCAGGGGTTTATGAAGTTGATAATA